AGCATTCGCCAAGCATTTTCCCAAGTTGCACATCAGCCGCTACGAAACGAAAATCATCCCCACTTGGACTTGGCAAAGAAGATCCAAACGGGAGAGTCGGGACCCAGGGATCCGTCATTATTATGATCTTCGCCCCCTCTGGTAATGCCACCTTGTTTCTCCAGGAAGACCGGGAGGTGCTCGACTTTAGATAGCGATATGGGTGAGGTAAGCAATGAATTCCTGCATAGTCACACGTTTGCCTCTCTGTCCGCCCGGCCTCATCTGATGAAACCCAACACGGCCGGGCTCGAAACGACGAAACTCGTCTCACACCAACCGAAACCGACGAAGCCCTGCCTTGAGCCTCTTTGCCCCTCTCCATCCTCCCACTCGTGACCGGACGAAGAATGCTCCCATCCCCCATCCCTCGGCGCGGATCTGTGTCCCTCCTTGACTCTCCCTCCTTGTGTTTCCTCCTGGCCTGCTGCAAAGAGAACTGGCAAAGACTGGCACAGTCAGGCCAGGCACCCAGACAGGCCATGTTGGTCGGAAGCGTGCTGGTCCGATGATTAAGCCCGATGCCCCCTTACACCTACTTTCCTTCCAGGGGCGCATCAGCATCAACAGATTGTGCGGCCGGAAGAGGATGGGAGCGGCGTCTGCAGCGATCTCTCTTGCACAGCCGACGCCAGACAACTCATGCGATTGGAGGATGGAGCTCCTCTTCGGCTGGGCGCTGCCTCTAGACGTCCGACCACCCGATCAAATTCCATGCCGGCCGTCCGCCATGTGGCATGGCAGGTCATCATTGCCATGGGTCTGTCGACTCTGTACCTTGCCATATATCCAAGACCCAGCCGCGCTTCTCCTCCCGAGGAGATTAAGCTTACTTGACCCTCGTCTGAATGCTGATGATCCCTCGAGTTGGTCGTGCTGCTATACAAACATCTTCCCCCTAGGACCCGTGGGTTTAGTAACGGTGTCTCTCCTTCCCTAGTCATCCTCCTTTTTCCTTTTCGTGCGCTTAAACAACCCCGGTGGTTGACCCTCGTTAATCATAATGACGCTCATGAAGTTTTCACATCTTTCTTTCCTGTTTGCTGGCTTGGTCGCGGCTCAGATTCAATCTGCTCAATTCAATCAGGTCATCAACCTGAATGGGGATGTAAGTCACTAGCCTCTTGGCACACACCGGCCCTTGGTCTTCATCATGTCTGGCTCGCCTCACAAGAGGAAGATGGTCAAGGCATCTTCGCTTCACTGTCGTACACATATACTAACACAACATCTTAGATGCAACTGAACAGCTTAGTGTTCCCCGACAACTCCAAGATTGAGACATTCTCGCAGACGCAACGCCAAGTCATCGTCAATCAGAACCCCAACCCTCTCCCGGCAAGCCATGTCGTCGGTTCAACGGGACAGCCTTTCGTTCAACTCTCGCGCAACTCCTTCACTATTCAAACTAATGGAGCCACCGACCTAGTGGGCGCCCAGATTGAGTTGCCCATTGACCAGAACATGCTGTCGCAGGCAGGTGTCACAGCCGACAACACCTTCGTGGCGATGCTTTCGAGGGACCGTCAGGCGTGGATCATCATGGAGGGAGCCAAGAGCGTCAACATCACCGACGCCACCGTCCGTATGGTCAAGCTGAACCAGATCGATGGAGAGTACGTCGCGGTCGGCCGCCAAACGAGCGAACTCGGTGTCTCTTTGACTCCCTTCGGCACGCCCGTCAACATCGCTGGATCTGGCATCCAAGAGGCTGAATTCAACGACGGTTTCCGCATGTCCATCAGAGCTAGCCAGCCCATGAGCATCCGCACGGATGTCGTCAACGGCATTAGCACTGACATGGTCACCAACGGCATCATGTCCATTAGTGAGTGGCCTAACTTACCCCAAAGCCCACGCTTATTTGGATGGCAACCCGCTAACACATAGTGACAGACAACTACCGCTATCTCGTCACCAGCAACTTGGCTGGTGTTGTTCCCAGCCTCAACAGCATGACTGCCGTTGTCCAGATGCCGCGTAAGTCTTTTTTCTTGCAAATTAAGCTTTGTCTCATTGTTGAACTCGGCACTGACCGGAATATGAAACATTAGTCAACGTTGATCGACTCATGGCGATGGCCATGCGCGCAGGTGCCCAGCCCCAGTCCTCCATCACGCTCGGAATTGCCCAACGCCCGGTTCTCCAGAACCCCGGCGGTGCGACTGGTGGTCTGCAGGCCCCTCGTTTCAAGCGTCAGGAAGCCAACAACGGCACTGCGACTGAGCAGCCTCCCGCGACGGGCAACGGCAACGGCAACGGCAACGGCAACACATCTGGCAATGGTGCTGGAGCTGCCGCCGGTGCCGCTCCCGCCGTTGGACCCAACAACGGAAACAATGGCAACAACGGCAACAATGGAAACAATGGAAACAACAACGGAGGAAACTCGCAGAACCAGCCTCAAAACGGTCAGCAGCCGCAGCCCGTCGGTCCCGCGATCCCGGCCGCGACCCAGCTCCTTTTGGCTCAAACCTTCAGCCCGATCAACGCCCAGGTCCTCCTTGACAGAGAGAACGCTCGTATTGCCGTTCCTGTCAACCAGATTGACGGCGAGTTTATCCTTACCATGATGGTTGCCGGCACTCCCGTTGGCACCCAGCCTCAGCCCGCACCTCAGCAAGGCGCTCAGCCCGGCCAGCAGCCCCAGCAGGGCCAGCCTCGGCCTCAGCAGGGTGGAGGAGGTCTTGTTCAGCCTGCCCCTCAACAGGGAGGCGGCGGCATCACCGGTGCCCAGCCTGGACAAGCCCAGCCCGGAATCGCACCCGCAGGCGTTCCCAGACCTGCCAATGCCCCGAAGCCCGCCGGCGCACCTGGCCGCCCTGCACGCAGACAAGAGCCTGCGGCTCCTCCGGCCGCTGCCCCTTTCCCCATGGGACAAGGTTTCGAGATGAAGATGGCTGACCTCATGGCCATGGCCGAGTCGAAGAAGAACGGTGGCGTCATGGCCACGTGGGAGATGATGACCAACTTTGCCGCGCAGCAGAAGCCGGTGGAGCAGAAGAGGTCTGAGATCATGAGACGGAGGTCGTTCCCGGTGAGACGACGTCTGGGACAGCATTTCTAGGCTCTCTTTTTGTTCTAGGGTGGGTCTTCTAGGTAGCATGGCGAATAATATTCGATGTGTATTCTTTTCATCATAGTACCCTCGGTCGGGCGACTGCAGGGCAAGCTCAGACGGCTTTGAGGGGTTCAAAATACTCAATAGAAGAAACATTATTGGTGAACTATCTTTACATCTACGCTACTGTGATGTTCAAAGACGTAATCGAAGGTAACAGATGTGTACGATTAATCCTCGGTATTTAGTCAAAGGTGGGTATCTTCCTCACCAAGAACGATTATTGCCAGCATTTCAACTAAGGACTCGGATTAAAGTTGTCGGTTCTCGGCTGCTCAAGAGAAACAAAAAGTGGCTTCCATCAAACATGATCGCCGTCTCCAGTTTTCGACCCAAAGGAAGGGCTCACGTTCTCTGGCACTGAATCCCCCAATCACCCCGTTGCGCCTCCTGCAGAAGAAGAAACACTAAACCTCGGCCCGCCTGTCAAATGTTGGAAATTTGTTTTCCAAATACTCATTCACAGCCATCTCTCATCCCTTCTTACCGTTTCCGGCTGAGAATGCCAAGCCGAACATCAGCCAACACGGACAATGCTAAACAAGCGCGAGACCGAGACTCGCAGCACCTGTGGGCGATGGCTGTCAAGTGTCAACTGCTTTCATCTAAGGTACATGCTAAGCCAAGGGCTATGTGCGGATTGGCCGCGAAACATTCATCAAATCATATAGCTCGGGTACATGTAAGGTGAATATCTCGTTCAAAAATCTCAAATAACAGACACAGCATAAATCTACGATGAGTCGGAGTGAATGAAAGTCTTAGGTCAGATGGTGATGACGTGAACTTTGGTACCCCACGAAATGTCAGTTTTGCCCCTGCGTCACGTCACGCAATTCAGATACCATGCACTCAAAGCCATGATTGTCTGTGAACACGAAGATTTAACTCTGAGAAGATGACATATCTATGAAGTAGTGGATGCGTCCAGGCGGTGGGCCACTGCTTTCATTGACTTTGGCTCATGCCTATCTGATGTCTCTCACTCAATAGGTGTCTTCGCTTACAGTGCACTGGCGTTGGTGCGATAAGCCTTGGCATGTCTGTGAAATATGTCAAGAAGCAAAGGCTAAATAAATTGCAGAATGAAGGCTACTGATCCAATGGAAGTGAGACCCATCTTCACCAATTACATGTTTGCCTATCGATGAGTAAGCACCTATGAGTATGAGTGTCATTTGTGGAAAACAACAGTTGGAGTGAACATAACCGCGTATGAAAAGTGAAAGTCACTGAACGGAACCATTTCAAGTGCCTTGTTATCGAAGAATGAGTTCAGCGCATGGGATTCGCCATCGACGAGAGACGTGAAAATAATGCTTGTGGCCTGCCATTCTGCTGCCTGTATGATTGACAAAAGACAGTATTTCCAAATGCAAGCCGGCATCGGCATCATGGCTAATGAACCGCGATAGCGTTCCTTGCAGAACAGCCCCATTGATACGAAGCTCAACGTGGAAATCCCTGCTTCGATGACGTCCGGGGAAGTGGTGCTATCTCCATTCTCCAATGTTTGTTAGTCTTATCAGCGGCGCCCCTCACTACCCGGCAACCCCCAACTGTGCCAACTTCTCCCCGAATGTTGATGGTAACATGAATAGTGGACTTTCATTTTGGAGAATGTAACCGTTCCATTCGGAGTCGAACTGCAGCGACATGCTGGATGAACTGAATTGAGGGGGAAATCGTCCCACTAGGGGATGGATCGCCAGAGTCCCCCGCTACCGAGCTGATGGCAGCCGTTAAGAATGGGTGAGCTTCCTCGGCTGCTGGTTGAGATGTGTTGTCGCGATCCAGTCTAGGCAGAGCAATTGAGCTTCACAAAGTTGCGCTTGTCAAGATGAAGGGATTCAGCAGCTTTAATGCTCTCTCGGCGCTGTATTTCAGCAGTCTTGCGCTCGGAGCGGTGACCAATTCGACTTCCTCTGGTGTAAGTAGCTCTGGATAGCTCGGTAGCTTGACGTGGCTGCGCAATTGAGCGCGATCGCTGAAATCTTTCGCAGAACTCCGTCTCTCTCGACCTGACCCTCCTCTTCAACAACAAAGCATTCGGTACTCAACCTGGAGAGGCCTCATTCGATGCCCTCAACCAATCCTTTCCCGAGCCGACCGTGGGCCCGGACTTTGTCTCAACCGACACGGGCATCCAGTACAGCTTCCCGGGCTATACCGGCCCCACGGACCCCGACAACCTCATCTGCACCGGTCAAAAGATCTCGGTCCCGCAGAACGGCTCCTACTTCTCCGCCTCATTCCTCGTCGCGGGAGACGTTGAAGGCGCCACAGTCAGCGGGAACGTGTCTTTCAACTACGCCGATAATACCACATCTGAGTACGAGCTTCGCACGCTCAACTGGTTTAGCTTCCTGACCATCAACCGCGGAGAGATCATCTTCCCTAGTCGGTACACGGCCAACGGTTCCGATTTCAACACCTCGCACATCTTTGAACGGACCACTGCGCTGCCGCCTGGAAAAAAGCTTACCTCAATCATTCTGCCGGACAAGAATAACGCGACCGAAGGTCGCCTCCACGTCTTCGCTATTACCCTGTGGCAGCAAGCCCCGGATGTGGCGGTTCAGTCGGTGAGACCGACGCAGAAGTGGATCGGTAACGGAACGCAGGTTGTGGAAGTCACTGTCAACAATGCCGGGTCAAAGTGCGTCTCTGGCGACGGCCTCAAGATTACGCTTACTGGAGATGGCTTCATCACTACGAGCCCTGGGCACTTGAAGCGATTGTGCCCGGGAGACCAAAAAGTTGTTGTCGTCGGAACCAATGGCGCATCGGCCGGTCCCGTGAACATTGCTGTCCACGTCGACGACGGCAGTGTTCGAAAGCAGACCCCTTTTGCCGCCGTTGAGATTGGCTTGAACGAATGGACTGCCGACGGCGAGAGTCTGTCCAAGCATGAAAGCCCAGAATGGTTCGATGATGCTAAGTATGGCATCTTCATCCACTGGGGCCCGTATTCCGTCACAGGTTGGGGCAATTCGACACCGTACGAGAGCTACGCCGAGTGGTTCTGGTGGTACTCTACCCACCACCCCGAAGGCGATCGTTCCAACTTCTACCAATACCGCCTTGACACCTACGGTCCCGACTGGGCTTACGATGATACCTTCCCCGAGTTCAACGCGTCCAAGTTCGATGCTAAGGAATGGGTTGACCTCTTCGCCGACGCCGGCGCCAAGTACTTTGTCCTCACGACAAAGCACCACGACGGCTTCGCCCTCTTCGATGCCGGAGCGACTTCCAACCGCTCATCAATCCACTACGGTCCCAAACGTGATCTGCTGAAGGAGCTCTTCGACGCTGCGAAGACCTACCAGCCCGAATTGAAGCGGGGTACCTACTTCTCGCTCCCCGAGTGGTTCAACCCAGACTTTGGCCCCTATGGCTTCGTCCAGTTCCCCACGCCATCAGCTGTCTCCTGGCCCGGTGTGCTAGCCTCCAACCCGTACACTGGGGAGCTTGAGCCCTACACCGGCCGCGTTCCCGTCAATGACTTCATCACCGACCTTATGGTGCCTCAAATGGAGACCCTTGCCTACGACTACGGCACGGACATCATGTGGTGCGACTGCGGCGCCGCCAACGGCACGCAAGACTTCGCGGCGACGTGGTGGAATAAGGCCCGCGCCGAGGGCCGTCAGGTCGCCATCAACTCCCGCTGCGGCATTCCGGAGGCGGCTGACTTTGACACGCCTGAGTACCAGACCTTTGCGTCCGCGCAACGACGCAAGTGGGAGAGCAACCGCGGCATGGACCCGTACAGCTACGGATACAACCGCGCGACGAAGCCCGAGGAGTACATGAATGCCACTACGATCGTGTACTCTCTCGTCGACATGGTGTCCAAGAACGGCAACTTCTTGTTGGACATTGGTCCCAAGGCAGATGGTACTATCGTTCAGGCTGAGATGGATAACCTGCGTGAGGCGGGCAAGTGGATCAAGGCCCATGAGGAGGCCATCTTCAACACCACGTACTGGTTTGTGCAGAGCGAGATCGTTGGTGGCCCGGATGTTAGGTTTACCCAGACGGAAGAGGCTTTCTACACAGTCTTTTTGGAGGAGCCGACCGTGGTTGACGGCTGGGTCTCTATCCGGGCACCTATCCCCGCCGTTGAAGGAGATATCATCAGTCTACTCAGCGTCGAAGGTGCTGAAGACCTCGAGTGGAAGATCAGCGGATCAGGAGTCAGCACTGAGTTGAAGATCAAGGTGGAGGAGGCTCTTATTGAGGCCGAACAGTTCGGTTGGGTTTTCAAGGTTCTTTACGCAGCATGATTCATGGATGGCAATAGGTCAACGCCAGGCCCCGCACATCGGCAATAAACGTGATTGAAAGCAGGAAAATGCAAATGACACGCCCTCGAGACAAAACATGGAGTATAAGTGGCACGAGCAAAAGTACATGCGTCGAGGGGGAATCGAACCCCCGGCTCCCCGACGCTGCTGGATGGCAACGGAGAATTTTACCACTAAACCATCGACGCTTGATTTCGTAAGAGGCTTGCTAACCCAAGAACCTAGGAATGTGCTGCGCGGACCCAGGCAAGGGCCGAGGGAGGTAGCCGGGGGTGGGTGACGGCTCGCATTCGCGCCTGCGGCAGCAGGCCTGGAAAGAGGGATCTATCGTGGCGAGAGACATATCCAAACGCCATCGTTCTGCGTAAGGAGCGACAGCCGGACACTAAACATGTCGGAAGTCTTGCCCGTTGACATCGAGTGTAGATATCGCGCAGCAAAGAGGTGTTCAGTCGGCCCAGCGGTAACAACAGCGACCTCAGGGCTAAGATTAGAATCGAAAGTTTTGAAAAATTGAGTAGCGTGGAGTGAAACTACTTACTAGGTTCCTCGTAGATAAAGTCGAGAGGGCGGAAAATTCGGTTGCAAAGCGATAAATTTTTGCTAATTAATTGGTTCAATTTTGTGTTGATATCCAAATTCGAGTCTTATTGATCGAGAGGCTACTACTCCTCCATAACTTTTGACTATCTCGGAACCCGTTCTCCAGTAAGAATGCAATCAAATGGATATTTATCATCGCTGTTATCATCCCATTCGCTATCATCAACATTACAGAGCACCGGCATCTCCTTAGCCAAGATTCTGGCAGACTTCTTCTTCACCCCAGGCGCGCTAATGATGGCCTTATAAAGATCAACTAACTCGTCACTGACGTTGACCGCATTATGGTAAGCCTTGGTATGCTGCAAGACGGCCTCGGACATGAAGGAGAGGAAATTTGTGGGGGTCTCGGCTGGAGGGGTACCGTTGAAAGGGCTGCCTTCGATCGGGATGTATGTGAAGCCGGACGACTTGGCGCGATCTTTTGCCTTCTGTACGAGGCCTTGAATTTTTGTAAGAAACTTTCCCTGTAGAGGACCGTATATTGACACAATCTTGTCAATATTGCGATCCTGGGTGTCGTCCGTTGACCAAGCGTTCGGAACGATGTCAAGGGTATTGTAAAAGTCCGCGTTCCACAATTGATACCCGCCTGGGCCGCTCACTTTCGACAGCTTAGAGTAGGCATCGCTGAAAAGCTGTTCGCCCGGTGTGGCTCCCGCGGAAGGAAGAGCGAGGATGTCACCCGCAATATCAGCCACGCCCGGGACCAGATTGTTTGCCTTGGTTGCCAGGGACAGGTAGGGCGAAAGGGCTCCCCCGAGGCTGTGGCCGGTGAAGATGACGCGGAACTCTCCCGGGCTCTTCTTGAGATTGGCGAGATAATTCAAGAGATTTGTGCCAGCTCCCGGGTTCCCGCTTGGCGACGCATGTGTTGCGACTGCCCAAGCACCGAAGGTCGTTCCCCAGGCACCGTAGGGAATGTCGCGGAAAGGAGGATTCTGGACCCCGACAGGCTTATCTGCGGAGCCGGTTGTAAAGTTTTTGGTATAGGCGTTGAAGTCTACCACCTTATCGACTCCAAAATCCTCGAACTCCCAATCTTCAGTCGAAAATACAGTGGTACCAGCAATCGCCACGACGTATGTGTCGAACCTGGTTCCGTCAGGATACTCGACGTTGGGCGCCTTCATCACCATCCAGCAGTTATTCAAGCCTTCATACCATTTCGAGGTCTCCGACTTCCATACTCGGGGACCCCAGGTGATATCCCACCCGTACTGGCTCAGGTGCTTCTTGACCATGCGCTTGGCTGCGATGTTCATAGCCTCCTGGAGAACCGATTCGGGGCCCATGATGGAGCCTGCTAGGTTGGCAGTCAAAGATTGCAGATGGATCTGCTGGAAAAGATTTAGCGTAGACATGGTGGGATAAAACAGAATTAGGAAGATCTTCAGTAGAGGCTGTGATGTTGGTGTTGGCTTGGATTGAGACCCTTGTGATAGAGTAGGCAGCTTGAAGATTGGCGACAGCGGTATTTATCTTTCTAATGTCCACTGATCACTCTCTCGGTGATATATGATCTGCAGCCTTTGGAACAGTCGATGGCACTGAATGGGACTGATTCAGTCGGAGCTGAAATTACATGCCACACTCACTGATGCCGCATCCGGAGAAGCTGAGCTCCATGAGCTGACTGCTAGACACTTGCCGTTTGATGGATGGGCCGAGACCATAGGAATAAGTGCACTTAAGTGATCAGCCCTAGAGAGTTTCGATTTACTCATATTTCAGCTCTTGCATGACAAGCGAGACATCACGCGACGCCTGATGTTCGTTTTTAGCGAATCGAGATCAGGTTCAGGTTTTGCACGATGGCCAACAGACACAGCTGGAGACGTGGATGCATGTAGTGCAGAATAGTACACGTGAATACTTACCTACTTTACCCTACAACACACTCCCTAAGAATTGGAGATCCTCGTTTATCCTGACTCTCCCCTCAAGGGTCCAGCCCACGAGGGGTTTAAGACAGCCGGACGGGAAGGCCCGGTAGTCGGCTCCCGGCCCGTCTTAGAGACCCAGCTTTGGAATGGAGGGCTGGACACCATGGAATGTCAAGAGATGTGATCCACAGCAAAGGCGAGGTGAGCGGATTGCTGCGAGTTGCTACCGAGTCTGATTGGACTTGACACGAGCTGCGGTCCCAAGAACATTGATCTTGCTTGTAGCTAAGTTGAGAGACTATTCTCAGCCGCACGTGGAGGGTATTCGAACTTTTAATAGCTCGCTGCAAACGGGATTGTCGGACTAGTGCTCGGCAGCGGACTATGCTTAACACAGAATCAGCGTCTGCGAGACGGTTGCATGCATGGCTTCTGAAGCCACAGAGCACTGAATGGCGGCCCAATTTGTGATGTGGCTGTCTGTCACCGTTCACAACTTACAGTATCCTTCCTCGGCAGTAGCTCGACTGAACTGTCCATGAGAAATTTATAATTGTAGCCAGATGCCAACATTCTGTGTTACTTACCTACCTGTAGCCCGGCTAGAGAGAGAATAACCAACCGATCTCTGCGCATTTGTGACTCGAGAAGTTGTCCGAGAATTTGAATGTGACAACCAAGTCGAAAGTCCACTACTTAGGTATCCCGCTGAATCTGGTTGAGAGGGAACAGAGCCAATGATTACTGTTGAGCCGTTCTAAGGCGCCCCAATCTTGCGTGGCCTGGGATCATCGACCAACGATAGCGTAACTTTTGGATGAAGTCAATTCTTTGAGCACTCGACATGGTGAGAATGGTCCTGATTTGACTTCACGGCGAAAGCCGAGAGCATCTTGCAAGACGTTCCTCATGAAGTATGGTATGGTCCATGCATTGTCGTCAAAGTCAAACCTAGATTTCAAAGTAAACTGAACGGCTTGCAGAGACGACGGGAGCGACTTGGAATGCTCTAGCTCGATTTTCTACGTATTGTGTCGCTTCGAGATGGCCATGTCACGTGCGTGAGGATGGAACATATCAAGTTATTTGGAGCGATACTAGCTTAGGAGAGATTAAGCTATTGGTGTCAAGCCCATGATGAGGCTGTTGTAAAAGGTTACGAGGACTACTAGAGTCTGGACCCTACAGTGCCGTCGGTCCGACGCCAACGGACCGAGTGAATAATGGAGTTTATCCTCGGGCGTGGAGTTTTGAAATGTTGTAGATACCGGTGGGATGAAAGTCTTAGGGAGCCCAAGAAGGGATGTTCAAATCATAGCAGTCATTATTGAATAATTACAAAGCCGGTGAATCGCCACCATAGCCAGTGAAATTACATCCAGCATGCTTTTCCAAACATGCAAACTTCTTCTCTTACAGGATGAAAGCCGCCAGCATAGATAAACCAGCCAGGGACATCAGCAGGCCCGGAGCGGAGTCGGCAGCTCCGGATCCCGGAACCGTGGTGGGGGTGGCAGTCGGCGATGAACCGTTGGATGACTTGGACGCGTTGTACTGTGCCCAGATGAACTCAACTGCATCGTCGGTGTAGTTGGCAAAGTATGAACCGTGAACGGCGGTGTTGTTGCCGAGATCGCAGTAGATATCTCCCGTGTCGCAGTACGACTCGATCTTGGACGCGTATGCCTCGCACTTGGTCACATTCTCACGGGGGAAGAGCTAGAGACGAACGAGTCAGCAACTCCAATGTTGCACTATGAGACATAGGGGCTTGATTCCGCCACCACGTTTCGCCAAGGTGGAACTTACTCCATTGCGCTTGCTCGTGCCCTTGTTCCAGCTTGCGCTGACGTTGTGGGTTGGGTCTCCGAAGAGAATCACGGCGATGACTGAAAATGTGTAAGCTTCGCGATCATGTCAACGGAAAGTGACTGGGTGGGCAGCTACTAACCACTTTGGTCGACGACGGATGCGGGAACGGGCGCCGTCTGATTGAACTCAATGTTGAGAGCCTCGCCCTCGTCCTCGTCGACGCTGCCGCACAGAGTATCACCTGTCACTTGCGAACCCTAAAGTTTCATGCAAGTCAGCGGGAGAAAACAAAAGTAAATTTTCCAGCAGCCGTCCAATTTTCTCGCCCAATTGCCACCCTCCTTTCCGGCGCTCTGGTAAAATAGCAGATCACGTCGTCCCATGAAAGTGGGTTGGCGTTGATACAGATGGCTGCGCGATAACCAAATCTTCAGTACGGCGTGAGCTTACCTGAGAGTATCCCAACAGCGCAACCTTGGAGTTCGGGCATCGTGCGTTGTACGAGGTCAACGCGGCGTTCAAAGCCACGGCGCCGGCTGCGACGGAGGTCGAGTAGTTGTCAAACGTCGCCGGGTAGTCGAGCGGCGCGATCTGGGACCCGGGAATGGCTGCGAAAGTGCCATTGGCGACGCTGCCAATTCTGCCGGATCCGGGAGCTTCGTTGCTGCCGCGGGCCAC